TTTTGATTCTGGCCATCCCACATACACTGTATATATCTTAAAACTTGAATATCTCGGTTGGTGCATGCTAACAATAGCCGATATTTTAAATTTGTAAGTTTGGCGACCAGCGTCTCAATTCGACCCGAATATGTCTAGTCTCCTTAACTGACAACACAAACAAATCCATTGTAATACATGTTGAATAATCTAAATGGTTTGCTTTGAATTGAAATATTTCTATGCATAGGTGCATGCCTTTATCCAAAAAAAACTGAGTAAGTCTCGACACATCTTTATCTAACTGTATTTTTGACGGAACGTTTTATTTGACCATCAAGACGTCGTTGGTATAAGAAGAAGAGATTCATCATTCCAGCCAGCTTATTGGCAGCGATGGTAATCGTAGCAGTTGTTCTCGGTTCTACTCTTGGATCAAGGTCTACTAACAATGTGCCAGGTATGTATTTTGATTATCTTTTCAACTCAAAAGTGAGTGATGGTTAAATCTCAAAGTTCTGGTTGTTCAATGTTAATGGGCCACATTTATAGAAACCATTATATTTCCATCTTTTTAAGTAGTTTAGAGTACATTCTGATTCCTTACAACTCTATCAAAAACAAAACTGAATTTTGAAGTGCAAATACTGAGTAGTGCTGAGTTTCAATATACAAAAACAGTATACCTTGTGCAAAAGGCAATGCACTAGCCTTTCTTACGCGAATTTAAGCTTCATTTTGTACAACCAGATGCACATATGATATACGTCATAAGATTTAGAATTTAAAAAAATCTAACAATAAAAAAGATCTCGTTTTAAAAAACACTAAGAAGCAAAAATTCTAGGAAAAAAATATTAGAAAAAAAATATTAGAAAAAAAATATAGAAAAATCTTAACCAAGCTGAGTTGTTTTAAATTTATTTTTTTCTAGATGTTTTACTTGCAAGATATTTTCCAGTTTTTTTTGATTAAAGGTTTCTCGTCGATATCAGTATTTTGTTACATATGATAACGGCTTGAAGCTTAGTTGAATAAGGGTAAGGTAGTCACACATGATTACGTGCCACGTATGGGTTATAGAACCTCAGAATATGATGTAGTGAAAGGGCAGTGAACACAATTTATGAAACTAACTTTTTTCTAGCTTTGTTAGTCTCAGTGAATGATATCGATAAACAAAAAAATGACTTCGAACACGCATGAGATTGAGAGGAATATATCCAGACTAGATCATCGGCAATGTGCTTTTCATAAACTATGCACATATTGCGTCCATAAGAGAAGTTTCTTAGCAGCATTATTTGAAACTTATTTTTTCGAACCCTAATGAATACTATTTTCATATGAAAATAGCTCTGAGAACTTGTGACATGTTGAACACAATAGAATACAAGACCACTTGCCATATTTTTAAAGCAACAGTTCAAACAGCATTTGAATGTAAAATGAATGAGATCTTCTCAAGGGAGAAAAAGCGCCAATTTCATGTGTCACAGCACTTCAGCGTACGTCACGGGGATGTCAAAGCTATTTTTTTAAATTTTTTTAGCTATGTCAAGTTTAATATCAACATTTATCGTGCGCATATTAGTCTGGTTCATTTTTTATAAGTCTTTGCGGCAGTAGTGCCTAAATAGTTCATCGTACTTTAGTGATACTCAAACATTGAAGTATAATCAATTATTTGAACTTTAGTGTCAGATAGACTTGTATATAAAAGTAACTGAAACTAATATGATCATCACGCATGTTGATGGTAGACTTGAAATGATTTCGAAACTGTACACAATAGCTTTGGCATACTTTTGCAGTACGTTGAAGTAAGGATTTTTCGCTTTTTACTTCGATGAGTTCTCGACGATAGCTAAAGTAACTCCATCGTAATAATACTTTCATTCCGAAAGGATTTCAATGAAATCTTTTTCTTCACTGTCTATGTCTATAAGTTTCCTTTCACATTAAAATAAAATGTATCGTACTCATATGTCGCTAGTTATAGTGCCACAGACTCTACCAGAAAAATGTGTCGTGGTCTGTCTCCTAACTATTCATTCACCGTTTTGTTTGGTACATACAACTACATATGACGATGTCAATTGAGCATGCTAGACTTATTCATTTTCTTAGGTCTTTTTTTTTGTAGATTATTTTCAATTCGTTATTAGTCGAAAACATGACGAGAAATCTATCGATGATCAAGAAAGGACTCTCTTGAAGTAGCCTGGGCGAGACGGATAGATCTCAAGACCAGGTTACTTCTAGATTTAAGAATGTGTATCTCTAACTCGAATTAAATTGAAAAAACGTGTCATTATTGGATTCTATAGGGGAAAAATCGAACTTGTGCTGACTACTACTTAGATTCAAACAATGTTTTCAGAATGTGCGAGTAAAGGGCATTTCATATTGTACTTTAATGTCTTGCATTGTGTCACAAAGTACGAGACATGTGACCTTGTTTATCTTAGGTTGTATGGTACAAAATTTATTGCTAGAGGGATCTGCCACTATTTTAAATACGAATGACCAGTTCTGTAGATAGTTACAGCACTGACTTTTTATTGATTTGAGACACAGCAGCAACTAGTACTAGTATGGAATTGATTAAAGAGTGAAATACTATTTCCTACAGCAATCTAATACAAAATTCTTAACAATTGAAATTTATATCCTAGAAGCAAAAATTATCTAATTATGTGCAGCCAAAAGAAAACGAAGAGGATACAGTTCTGAAGTTATTTTTTCTCATTTTTGATGGCTTGCAGCATTTTTAAAGATTAAGCAAGTACTTTGATTAAACGAACGCTACTGTTTCATTAGGGTATGATCTAGATTTTGAATGAATTCAATAAAGAATGTATTTTATGAGTAAAGCAACTTTCAATTCCAAAAACATTCATCAACCGGATTAAAGAATTTAAATAATGATCACTATTCTTTTATGACACTCCTAGATCTGTAGATAAATCTTAAAGTATTGTTCTGGCATTCACAGTCACCTTATCCTAGAATTAGGAGAGCTCAGCAGGGACTCTGAATATTCCATTAGGTGGAACCGATTCGTCAGATCGGCTAAGAAACATCTAATGAAATGTCTTCAATTAAAACGAGAAGCTTTTACACAACATTGTATGTTGTAGCACAACAAGAAAAATTAGGCGAACAATCTCTTGTTGGATGATTCTAACTTATTTCTATCAATGTAGGAATAGTAGTTCCTGAAAAAGTAAATTTTTTTGGGTTTATAGGTTTACCTTCTGAACAGCATTGGAACACTTAACTTGATATAAAATTATGTCATCGAATTTATTTGTCTTTAACACGTCTTTACTTTGTAAGACGCTTTGATTTTGATTTGAATTGCAATTAGGCATGAAACTGTGCTAGTAACTAGTAATCATTAGCTTCTTCAGCACTATTTGATATTTTTTCAAGTCAGGTTAATCACATTAGTCTATTGTTGTACCAATACGGATAAAAATCTGTGAATGACTTTTTTCGTCCTCTTTCTAATTCATATTGCCTATGACAAAAAACAATCTCATTATTTTGGTGTCCAAACTTGCTTCCATCGATTTATCATACTCTTACCCTTACTCTTGTATGTTTACACAAAAAAATCTTCTACACATATATTTACTTGGATATGTTTATTTATATAGATCTATGATTTTCACATATATGTTCTTACATCTATCCGCTTACTCGTATACTCTTATACCTATTGCTTTATACTTGTAGCCCTGGGCCTATACATTGAAGTCTACATCCATATCTCGATGCAACTACCTATATTGTCATGATGGAACATATTTGAGTATATTTCGTGAGGAGTTCTAAAGTATTCTGTTTCATAAAAACATTCATAGGTGCCACCTATGATAATGTCTCATATGATCTCTTTGAAGTTTAGAAAGATGATAGAATCAAACTTTTTCCATGTAAAAATGTTATCCCTCAAAGACGTATCATTTTGCAGTTTTATGAGAGCTGAAGAAATAGATAAAATTTTCATTAGCGAGTTGTAAGCATTGAACACAATTCGTGTGAAACAGCTTTCTTTTATTACCATGAACCATGTAAAACATGTATTCCTAACCTGCTACCCTTGTTGATACCTGTACGCTAAAAAGACTATATGTAGTTTCCAACTAGTTCTCCCAGATGGGAAAGAACAAAACAAGGTGTGCATTTATTCAGTTAGAATCTGTCGCCTTCGTTCGTTTTCTCCGATTAACTTTCTCCTAGAAGTATCCCAAAAGAATGCGGAGACGCGATAATAGGAAACCCTAATTGTTTCTTGTCTGATTTTGTCTCAAACACATCTATTCGTATATTATTATACAGCAGTTTAGCGACAGATTCTACTAATTATATGTTTCGTTAGAGGAAGTGGGTTCAAACTTTCATTCAAAAGTATTAATTACTAAGCAGTCGTAATACAGCTGACGTGGCACATTTATTCATGATAATAGAACAGGAACTTCATATCAGATTAAGTTCAATTTCTAGAATCTTGCAACGAATAATTTTCTTAGTCGCTCAAATCTTACATAAGTCAAAAATGATACATCTAGTAGATATACTATTCTCAAAACGACGATGCTGGATTCCCCAGTTTTTGTACGCTGGGAAGAAAGTTGGAAGGATATTGTTGTTCACATTATTAATGAAGGTTCTTGTAAGACTGAATATTTCTAGACTCTTCTTTAGTAAGAAAAAGTTCTATGTTTATCATCTTTTACATTTCCGCAATATTACCTTAAATTTCTGTAGCGAGATCGAATAAAGAGTGCAGTTTTCTTATTCTTCTTTGATTAGGAACTACAATGTTGGTCACTTTACAATATTCATCAGCGCTGACCACCAGCAGTGGACAGTTTTGTCGCGTAGGCGACTGTTCGGTATATGCCTACTACTATCAGACCTTTCGTTTAAACGTTCCTCTTACTGGGAACTATTCTCTTGAATCTGAGAGCAACATGAATACCATTGGTTATGTGTATAACAACAGTTTCATGTATCCTGCTCCATCTCAAAATTTAATATCATTTGATGATGATAGTGCCGGTAAGCAGCAATTCCGCTTGTACATTTGGCTTGATACAGTAACAACATACTATTTGGTCGTAACCACACATGACCCGAAGGTTACAGGACAATTTGCAATAAGCGCAACTGGTATAGCATCTCTCACATTTTCAACGACTGATGAATCTGGTAAGAACTTCATTAATTTCAGGGAAGTTCTTGAATGGAACACAACATTCATCAAAAGATGGATGCAAAAAGATATGCAAAGTACTGAATGTAGCAATATACAGTAATTTGCTTCTAGCAGTTGATGTTAATAAACTTCAAGAAAGGTGAAAGTGAAACCAGACTCTTTTTCACAAAAAACATTTTGCGTAACAAGTATTCCAGTTGGTAAATCCTGCGTTGGCCGAAACTAAAATTGTCGACATATTCCAGTGTCGAAAGAATATCAGTTATAGATCTGCCTATGAGAAAAGTTTCAATATGTTACTTCCACTTAATAAAAATTTTATTTGTTAAAAAATCTGCAACGAAAACATGTTTAAAAAAATGGAATTAACTTGAGTGAACAATTCAAAATTAGTCGTAAATGTATTTCCTATCTATTTCGTTTTTGTTCCAACAACTAATGAGAATTCATAAAGTAGATCTGATAAACTGATGACACCCCTATTATATTTAGCATAAAAAGTATTAATGCGATTCGTGTATGAAAGTTGTTGCGGAGATTTTGTTATTCTGATGCACCAGCAGACCATTGGATGATAACTAGTCGAAGTCTTTTTTTCTTCTGCTTGCATGAATTTTATAAACTTCCAAATATTAGGATGATTGTGAAGAATGCGGTAGTTTATTCTACTGTGATAAACTTGAATAATAAATGAAAACAGTAGTCACTAAAACGAAGTCTATTTGAAGATAGCGTTCACACATGTTATTTGTTATTGAGTCGCCTGTATAAGCATTCCACATATCAAAGTCTGATAACCATTTTTTTTCAAAATAATTTGATAGTGGTTCTATTGGTGAGTTTAGTAAAATTGAAGCAACATTACGAATTTATTCGAATATACACAAGACAGTTTCTTGTGGCATCATTGCAAGAGCTATCAACTTTTTTCAGAGACTACGTACACCATCATTGCTTACATATAGCTGCTGTATTCCCAGTTATTGCATTTTTGCTGTAAATGCACTGAGTATAATGAAAAATAACAACCATAGTGTCTCGATGATAACAACTAAAGAGCACAATCATCAAATGAGAAACAGTTGCTTATGAAAATACTAGATATTTATTTCTGTTTTCAAAACCGGGACTATACCAGATTCAAAACTAGTAACAACTAATTTTGGTAAAAAATTTTTATCATGCTCCAACGCCAAATGCTTTAAGTCAGAAAATATTTGACGAGAAGTAATTGCCTTTGTATGGACCATTATTACAAATAAGCAAGATACACCTAAAAAAGAATAAAAGAAATCGTTAGAAAGTGAAATTTCTTTTTTCTCACATGTATCATGATTGATTCGTTGATTAATGTTAATTTGAAGAAAATAAGAAGGAGCTTTCGACAAACTATCATCCATGTGTATCATTTGTGAATCAAATAATATGTCACGGTTGAACATTCTTTGCATATAAGAGAAGACGTTCACGTCGCACACGTGACTCCTCCAAGAATAACAAATGTTTGCCATCATTAGTCAGCTTATAAGGATCCGGAATAGTAAATAGACATGATTGATGAAGAGTAAGGAGAGTTTTTCAATGAACTTTGGCGAAGGTTTGATCTAAATGTAAAATTCAATTATAGTTTTTGCCATAATCACTCCGAGATTTCTTGATTTGTAGGAAATGTAACAACATCAACAGCACTAAGTGCCCCTTTTGCTATTTCTTCTTCATATATAATATCAATAGTTGTCAGTTCATTTAAAACACGTTTCTTCATTTCTTGATGAAGACATGTCGTTTAAATTAAATCTAAATTTGATTCATGAGTATATGTACCTCCACATAAATATGCATCATGTTCATCTGTATAAACCCCAATTGAGCATCCACTAAACATACCAATCCAATATTTTTTACAAGCCATCTTCTTATGACACTTGTATACCTGTTCATTCATGACTAATAATCGTTGACCTTTGCTTGACGTAATGAATCATAAATTGTCATGTTTATCAAAAGTTGAACCCGCAGAAGTCGATATAATACTACTTTATCAAGATTTGACTACTGAATATTTGTTTTCGCTAATCTTTACAACAAAGATGTCTTTGCTAGTTTTTGTTTAACAAAGAATTAAATTCGAGTTCAGAGTTGAATTGGTGACGCAACCAACCAATAATAACAATTATGATATATGTATAATTTCCAATTGTTTGTTACTATCAACTTCGTTTTAGTCATTGACTGTTTATGCTTAAATTTTCACTCTTACTAATTTTAAAATTTTCGGCTTACGTGAACATCGTCTTATTCATGCATTCAATATTTGATTAACCTTCTAATACAGGTTGAATACGACAGATAGTGTTATCTGACGGCATCCGTTATATGCTCAGAATCATCCCAGTTTTCTCTATGATGACTATGCGAATTGAATGTTTTTTCTTCATCTCAAGAAACAAATTCAACTCTAAACTGAAAGGCGATTTTAGATATCAGAGTTCTCAATCAAACTGTCGCTCGTTCTCTTACTTGGTTCAAGTGATATTTTCCAATGCTTGTTATATTTCGTACAATTCCAGAAGCACGCCTAATCTGATGGGAAACGGTTCCCGATATCGATATCGCGTTCCGTTCACTTCCCTTCTCTCTTTGCTCTGCACTCTATTTTGCCATGGCTTCATCATTCCTTGATCTCTCTCTATTGTTCATTTCTCTGCTCATCCACAATTCTCACTTACTGCCATATAACCATTTGTCAAGCATGAAGTAGTGACATTCTGGAGATATCAGGCATCACAATGTACATAATAATCGAGAATAACGAGGATGTACCTATTCTGTTCACCGCTAAACTATTTGAATTATGAGACGCAATGTCTATAATGTTGAAAAAGAAACTCATAATTCTAATTATCCTAAATCACCTTCATATATATTCATATAGGTATGAACATATATTTGTGAAATTGCTGCAAAAATATCCAGCAAACTTTTTTTGTTTCTTCAAACGAAAGCTTGTTGAGCCTTTCGTTTCGACAAAATAACTCAAAAACCTTTTGCTTTAAGTTAATCACCATCCAGGGAACAACGCTCTACGATTTATACGTTCTTACGATGGTTATCATATCTCTGAAAGTATTCTTTCATTGCAATCAGTTCGCTTTTTTTCAACTTAGTTTTATAAAACTCTATATACAGGATTCTCACCGTTTCGTATTGATTCTCATAAAATGATACTTAGAGGTCGAGTTAAGAGTACGATGTTTATATTTTTTCTCTGACTAGACACTACAAGCCTCATCACTTCTCAATATTCATCAATGCTGACTAGTACAAGTGAACAGTTTTGCCGCGTGGGCGACTGTTCAGTTTCAGCCTACTATTATCAAGCATTTCGTTTGAACATCTCTATTGCTGGATACTATTCTTTCAAATCGATCAGTAGCATCGATACCTTTGGTTATATGTACAACAATAGTTTCGTTCCTCCAGATCCAACACAAAATGCAATAGCAAGCAATAATGACGGTGCCGGCGATCAGCAATTCCGTTTATACATTTGGCTTGGTACTGCATCGACATACCTTCTGGTTGTAACGACATTTAATCAAAATGTAACAGGACCATTTTCAATAAGCGTAACTGGTTTAGCATCAGTCACATTTTCTCCAATGAATGCATCAGGTAGAATCTCTATTTGTTTTAGAGCACTTCTTTCATGAAACGAAATACTCATCAGAAGATTGATGTATCAACACCATAAACTGAAACTCATAGCTGAAATAACATATCTCAACATCAAGTTCTTCACTGAAAGTTCAGATACTAGTTTTTAGCCTTTTCAAGTTAAAGCGAAAGTAAGCACACTAAGTTAACCTCAGAAAAAGTTAAAGTTAAAGTAAACTTCGTGAGAAAAACATTTTTCTTCGAAAGAGGCAACGAGTTCATAGAAAAAATGATCTGGTTTACTTATATGAAAGAATTTTTGCGAGGGAAAACACTTTTCCACTAGATCATTTTTGTAGAGAAAAGGGCTTGTTAAAAGAACCATTGTTGTGAAAAAATCTAGTTTTTCTTTCACTGATTCAGGGTTCAAGTTTATAGAGGCTTTAATTTTACTTTACTTCTGTGTCAAAGTTAAAGTTAGCTTATGTTTACTTTCAGTTTTGAACTCTTAAGCAGGTTGCAGACTTCAATTTCATACTGAAGTGTAGCAACCTATCCGATTCATTTTAAATGAAGCAATGGCGTTCGTTAATAAATATGTATAGCTCAAAGCACGTTCTCCCGTAAGTCTCCACTTTTTCAAACAACACAGATATTGCGTTTTCATCAAAAGAAGGTTCACTAAACTGTTTTTCTCTGGGAACACATTTAGCCTTTTGAGCAGAAGGTGAAATTCGTCAGACTATCCAAAAAACCTTCGACAATAATATATCGTCTCTTTCGATTAATTTCCGTGGTTTTCTGTGGGTTTTTGAGTGTCACGACCACCTTCTTATCCATACCGTCAGTATTTGATAAACATTCGTATACACTTTGAATAGGACAAATAGTTTTACTTAATGTTTTGCGTTACGTACTCAAAAACGTTCGAGTTCCGTCTATCATAAATATGCATATAGCGTGTATTCTTGTTCGACTTTGAGTGAATGAATCCATGTTTCTTCTAGTGATAACGCGTTTTAGTCACAGTACGGTTCTGAATTTTATAAAATGCTCTTTCTCTTATCTCGTTCAAGTGATCCTTTCTGATGTTTTTTATATTTCACAGAGGCTCACAAGCACATCTAATCTAATGACATCAGTTACTGATATCGCTTTAGGCTTCGGTTCGCGCTCGTTCTCTCTTTTCTCTTTATCTTATTCTACCACTCCTTTATAATACGCTGATTTCTCTGTAGCATTCATTGTTGTGCTTATCTCTCATTATCATTCGCTCCTTTAAAAGCACAGGTGCTGAATGTGAAGTAGTCGTATCTAGGAGATATCAAGTACCTAGATAAAACCAATGGTGGCGGATCAAGAAAGCCTACGTATCTGCTCTGTCGTTAGACTATGTAAATTATGAGACGGCATATCTTTATTGTTTCGAACATCTCATAATTCTAAAAATCCTCAACAATTTTTCATAGATTTGTATGAATGTGTAGCAAAAGTTATGAAAAAGCTGGGAAATAAATGAAGCAGATTGTTTTCCTTTTTTTTAAACGCAACTTTGTTGAGTCTCTCATTTTGAAATAATAATCCGAAACTCTTTCTTTTTGGATCAACTGTGTTGCATGAAAAGGCTCCGTACGGCTTATAGTTTTAATATTATGTCTATCACATTTGTGAAAGTGTGTTGTCACCCACACAGATGCACTTCTTCCCTACTTACGAGGGAAAATTCTTGACTGATAGGCATAGTCCGAGCTCACACTTCGTGGCGGATAAGCTTTATCATATGTTTAAAAGAACTGAAAGGAGTTGTACTATTGCTGGATTGGCTTCCGAATTATGAGGAAAACATAACCCCGCTAGATTATCATCGATTGATTTTCCTCATAACTTGCAAATCAAACAGCACTGACAAGAATTGTTTCAGTTATTTTATACATATAATAAACCCATTCCACCAAATCATTGTGAGCTCGAACAACGTGTATCCGTCGGAAATGTTACCTTGTTAAGTTCAGAAAAATTCTAAATAAATGGTCCTTGTCATTTTTTATAGATTGTCATAAAATGATAGTCCTAGGTCTAGTTAAGAGTGCAGTTTTCTCATTTTTCTCTGATTAGACATTACAAGCTTCATCACTTCTCAATATTCATCAATGCTGACTTACTCAAATGAACAGTTTTGTCGCATGGTCCACTGTTCGGGTTTAGCCTACTATTATCAAGCGTTTCGTTTGAATATCTCTATTGCTGGATACTATTCTTTCAAATCGATCAGTAACATGGATACTTATGGTTATATGTACAACAACAGTTTCGTTCCTCCTGCTCCGTCTCAAAATATAATTGGAAGCAATAATGACGGTGCCGGCAATCAGCAATTTCGTTTATACATTTCGCTTGATACTACAGCAGCATACATTTTGGTTGTAACGACATTTAATCGAAATATAGTAGGATCATTTTCAATAAGCGTAACTGGTTTGGCATCAGTCATATTTTCTCCAATGAATGCATCAGGTGAGAACTCTATTCATTCTAGAGCAGTTTGATGAAACACAATACTCATCAGAAGATGGATTTGTAAAGATGTGAAGAGTACTGAATGCGCCGACGTAGAGTAACTCTTTTCTAGTGGTTGCCCTATCACTTTAGATTTCCAATGGTGAAACTGTTCAAGCCAAAGTAAAAGACTTTAAACCTAAAGCTCATAGGTGGAGTAACATATCTCAACTGTAAGATTTTAGTTCAAAGTGAAGATACCAGAGTTCGAAGTTTCTCCTCGACCGAAGAGTAGACCAAAGGCGATTCGGGTCGAGAAATCGAAACTTTTCATCAGTTTTCAAAATTTTCATTCGAATTTCTTGTGTTACTGGAGTGCATTCTTACGAAGATATCTGGTTTTTTAATAAAGGTGACTGAACATAATCGAGGTCGAGTAATTCGAATCTGTTATGAATTCATCAGAACTAAGTAGGTGATTTCACTATAGAAATGGCGAGTCCATGACGGAAATGAATTTTAAAATAATTCAGATTTAAATACATTCTCTATCGTAAACATCAACATAATCTGTGTAACTCTTATACTCTATCCACATACAATAAACATTCGAATATCTGAGCATTTATGTAGAACTTACGAGGGAACCGTTTCAAGTGATTCACGCCGATTTTGCTTATATTTTGCCCATATGTAGGGGTCAGTATGCTAAGAAAAAGCCTAAGAGGATTTAGGCCCATGTTGCTTCTTTCGAGGGTTATGGCCATTTTACTGATTTTTCGGCCTATGACAAGGTATTTACAAAAAATTCAAATGACGAAATTATGTCTTGAAANTACCTTCGTTGCACATTGATGTCGTAAGAAACCATTCAACTAAAAACGGGGATTTCTATTCGTCAAAGAATACAAAAGAAATAATCCAAAGTCTTAGAAATGAGCTCAACAGTTTTAAAGAAGAAAGGACTAATTGACGTAAAAATAAATTCAACTTTAAATAAGAAGTTCTTACAAATGTACGGTTTCGTTTTTTGAAATCTTATCAATGTAAATCATGAAAATAATTTTTTGATAGTCACTCGTATGAACACTGTTTATAATAGATTAATTGTCATATTGTGCAATGCAGTTTCTATTGATTCTCAAACGAATATGTTGAATGAATAGTTGATTTGCACCTTTTGCGACAAGCATTGAATATGATTTTGTACTGGGAACGAGTCTTGTCTAACGTAAGATTTCGAGTCAGATCTCCAATTATGAATATGAACATACTTGATCGAATTGAAAAGTCACTAATGAATTTTCTGAACAGTGAACAACACATTCGCATTAGTATAATTAGGCAATTCAAGAGAATAAGTTCAATATGCTGATTGTTTCGATATCGAGCAACGATAAAATGTTTACTTAAGCCATAAAATAAGAAAAAATGAATAATCTCATACTAAGACTATCAAAGTTAAAGAGTTACGGTTCTCTCTAGATCATGATTCATGTTTGGCTTCAAATCTGAACAGAGAGGGTCTGAAGTAAAATTATAATGTTCTCTTCAACTTTTTATATGTATTTAAAATGACTTTTTTCTGAAAGTAGCTAATAAGTAACAGAAACTTTGATCAGAGTACACAGTCATATACACGAAAGGTGCCAGATATTGGTGAAAAAGAACTCAGATCTGTGTACGTCCGATATAGGATCTAAATCTATCGAGATTCTAGTCCAAAAGTTTAACTTTTCTCGAATATCGATAAAAACAAAAAGTGAAGTCACAGCTCTGTAATGAGAGTATAAAACCATGTTGACTATAAGCTATTCAATATCAGTTTATGTTAAACAATAATATGAATATAATTAATTGCACAAATATTTTCTTTAAGGTCATAGTGAATTAGTATCAATTATTTAATAGAAAAATTTCTCTACAGATTGTCAACAAATCTATATATAAAGCTCTAGCAAATGCTTTGAAGTCTTAGAATGATCTCACACAAAAAGCATATTGTGTATTGTTTACATTTATGTAATGATAGACATATGAAATAAAATGAAAAGTTGATTGATTACATATTTACAACATATAACTAATGATATTATTTTGCAAGATATTCATGAGTTCTAGTTCATTGTAGAATCCAGACTTTTAAAATAAAATCATGAAAATCATTGACAACTATTCTATTTAATTAGAAATTCTTTCTAACAAAAAAAAAAAGCTGTAAGCCCAATCCCTGTAGGATTGCAATATGAAACACAATGGAGCTGTTGATATTGTAAAAGAGGCGATTAATCAATATATGTTTCAATTTATGAATTTCTATCTACTGTTAATGCATGTCGATGATAAAAGATATTAATTGCAATAATTTGCAGCGCATATGAAAGAAAAGTAAAGGACAATTATCACACTAATCTTGCAGTGGATTTTTATCTATCGGTTATGTCAGTTATCATGTCGGTGCGTGTGTGGGAGAGAGGTCTATATTTCTACCTCTATACTTCAACTAGGGTTGAACGAGTCAAGTTATTTTTGTAACTTTTGTGTTTTCTGTTTCGTTTTATTAAGCTTTCAGTGAAGAAATACGGGCCATTTCCTGCTGGAAAATTCTCTAAAGTAATGAGAAACCTGGTAGCAGGAACACTGTCATCAGATGCAAACACTAGATTACTACTTTCAAGTAGCTAACGTTGTCCTGAGCTCCCGGGTAAGTATCTATCGGAAATTTATGGATTCGGACGTCCGAATCATTGACCTGGAGAACTTTAACAACGAATTTTTCATAACACAACACCTTGTTCTTAGTTTTAATGCATTAAAACAAAATAAGAACAGTCACCTACATGTAATAAAATGACACTCCTATTATAGATTTGTCAACGAAATAAAGGTAGTAAAATCTACTCTTCTCATTTTCATATAGTTTTACAAGACAGTAAACAAAAATCTAAACTTGAAATTATTTACAAACTAAAGATCTTTATTAACATTTAAATTAATGTTTTATTGTATTTCAAAAATGTCAAAATACAACTATTAGATTGTGAAAAATTTGAACAGTACGATCTCATTAAAACATCGCTTGGAGAAAACACACGTTCAACTGGTGCTCATATATTGCAGAAACATTACTTTTATGTATACTACAGATTTATGAAATATCACAGCTACTCCTTTTTTTTCTTTCGCTATTATTGACACTAATTTCCACAATAATGTATTAATCTAAAATAATTTTTTTTAATAAAAGTCAATTTTTATTTCTGTGTTACTCATCTATAATTAACAAATTTACGTACATGTAGTTTTGTGTACAATAAATTTGTTTCGATTATGGGAGACATCTACCAAAGATAAGCTTTAAACCAATCATCATAGGTTTTATGTGTCAAGAACAGTTTGATCATATTTACTTCCTCTTTCTACATAAATATTTCAGATGGATCTATCAGCTGATTAATTTCGTTTTTTTTTTCTAGTAATTAATTTATAGATGAGTGCAACAGGAAATGATTACAGCGATACATTAAATTCGCTTTCTACAGAAGATGATGGAAATATGTTTCAAGCAGCTCGACAAAATGGTCGAAGAAATGCATTAGCAGATCTTGGAACACAACTTGCGCAATGTAAATTTTTTTGTTTTTGTTTATTAAATAAATATTTTTTATTTCTTTTTTTAGTTCATGCGTCAATGGTATCATCTGAAATTGATAAAATGACACCACATTTTCAATCGATGTCAATAAAACCATAAAGAAAAAAAAAAGATATTGAAGGCCAATGAACAAATCTTTAAATATATCTATTGTCTGTACTGTGATAGAAAATAATCTTAAATCTTGTTTTTTCTTGTTTTTTTTTTTTTTGGTACAGCAGTGGAGAAAAGAATTACTTTTGAATGCTCTGAACAACGAACAGAATTGTATTTTTAGTCATTGTCCGTTTTGAAACAAAAAAAAATCTCATTTAATGAACCTTTTAAAAAAATAGAGTATTATAATAATCATTTAATTGTTGTTTTTAGATGATAAATTAGTAATCGAATAACAAAGTTGAAAAGAAAATTTTCCTTTTTTATTTTTGAATATTTTTTAAAGTGAATTAGTTTAAATGGCGGTTAGTAATCAATGTTATGTTTATAAAATAAAAACATTATTTTTTATTATTTAGTTTGATCTCGTTCGAAAGCGTCTCACCAAAGAGCTTAAACTACTAATAGAAAATCCTACGCCTGGCATGTATGTTATTTTTATTATAACGAAATGATTATTTTTTTATGTTTTTAGTCGAGTCGTCGATGATAATTCTGATATGCGAAAGTAAGTTAGGAAATTCAATTTATGTTTTATTTATAATTTAATAAAATGATTTACATGTTTGTTTTTTTAATTTTAGCATTCGAATTGATATTGACGGTGCAACAGGAACATTATACGATGGTGAAAAATTTCAATTACAATTCAAATTTTCGGATCAATATCCATTTGATTCACCACAAGTAATTAAATTAAATTATCATTCATAATTTAATTTGATTAGTTAGGTTACATTTATTGGTCCTAATATTCCTCTTCATCCACATATTTATTCCAATGGTCATATTTGTTTATCAATATTAACTGATGATTGGTCACCAGCATTAAGTATAAATGCTGTTTGTCTTAGCATTTTATCAATGTTATCAAGTTGTAAAGATAAGGTATTAAAATAAATGAATAACAGATGTATTTTATGGTTGAACATTCGAAATAGTTAATTAAAGCGCTTTTTTCAAGAATTAATAAGATGAGCAATGAATTTGATTTAATTAAGAACAGATAGGACTCAAGTTATTTGCATTTTTAAAAGAACAAATATCAATGTTTAGATCAAACTTTGAATATACCATTGAGTATTATTTTATTATATACCAATGAATTTCTATATACCAAAGTAGTAAAAGACATCTAATGGATTATTGTTGTTCATTTATAAGAAATAGACAAAAATTGAATATGTCTATATAAATGAAGAACAATCAATTCTTTTTAGATTCTAGAAGAAAAGCTGTTAGCACAATCTCTGCAGAATTAAAATGTGAAACACGATGTATTTGCTATTGCTAATCACAGGGGAATCAGTTTATGTTATCTATTTTAGGACACATTTCTTTATCATCGTTTTATATAACCTTCGGGAAAAACAATAAGAAAATAGTTCATATATTATAACGAGATCTTATTGATCAACGGCTATGATGCGGAGAAGAGAGAGAGAGAGAGAGAGAGAGAGAGAGGATGTTGGTAAATTAATGTCAGTATTTTCAACGAAACTGTACATTCTTACGTCAGTCCCACTCTGTGGAGGCGATGAGAATCCAAATGTTGAACTAAACACTTCGACATTCTTATTAGATCATGTTTTATAAAAGAAAACGAAAAGATCTATTGTATGTAGGCAGGTGTTAATTTATATGAATGAATTTGTGTTTGAAAGAATTCTGATTTAATTTGTTTTTATATTCTAGAGCCGTCCACCTGATAATGATTGGTATGTTCGTACAGCATCTAATGATCCTAAAAAAACTCGATGGTGGTATCATGACGATTCTGTTTAATATTAATACCATTATCTTCTCTCATATTCTTTCTTGTATATTTATTTTTGTATTAATAGAAACAGGTATTAAAAACGAAAATTTTTATTTTTATATTTTTTTAAATTTTTTTCAAGCAAATGAAAACAAATGGTACCACGATGTCTATTTGGAAACACTACATTCTTTTGCTTCCTTCTTTTCTTCTTTCTTCATTATATGTATATCTATTTTGTTAAATGAATTTTTGCATGCTAGTTTTCCTTTAAAGAAGAACGCTTACATATTATGAATTGTGTGTTGGATAATGTTACACAAGCTTTTTTCCTATTTAAGATTACAATTTGAAAAAAAAAAACAAGAAAGAAATAAATGAAGGAAAAATGACTAGACGATGAAACAATATGAAAATTTGCAATAAAATTTTTATGATAATAATGAATTTAGAGATGAAATGTATTTATATTTAATATGTGAGATTAGTAAAATCCAAATATGACAATATAATCTTCTTCTAGATTTGTTCAAATAATTATAACAATCGATTGAACAAAAGTAACTGTCACGAAATTTATTATCAAAGACTTAAGACTATTCAATTCAATTAAATAATATAAGAGGATAATAAAAAAAATCACACAAGTTCAAGGTGACACTGCCCTACTTTCCAGTACTTTTGAGGCGTAACTGATTAGAAAAATCCGAAACTTTTCAGATGGATAGATTTCGATATATCAAGCAAAAGTTTTCATAGATTCAACATTCGCAAATATTTTCTTCAAGAAAATATTTGGAATGTAAAGGCTGAAATTTGCTTCCCTGGTCATCTCGCTCTCTCAGTTACAATACTTCTTATAGAATTAAAATTATTGTTACGGATACTAAACTTTGTTTGAGGTGTCAACGTTCTTTTTTTTGGTTCCTTTCGATCGCCTTCCCTTCGAAGCAAAATATCAAAAAATGCATACTTTTTTGTACAGTAGGGCTTTTAGTAAACCATCGAAAAATGCAGCAGGACAAATGAGAAAGGGATCTGATTCTCAATTTCTTTTGTGTGAGAAAATTCATTTTTCTAAAGCAGTGAAATAATGTGTAAATTTTGGTTTCTTTTTAGCAAAATGAAGAGTTTATAGAGCTGATTAAGAAAATCTGAAAACTTTGGGTACGTAAAGAGGAGTTCCCTTAATGATACTGTTGAAGATAGTAGGTACAATAATGTATTTGCGAAAAAAAAACAATGTCAACTTATCCATCAACTGTTACTATATATATCGTTGATTATTTTTGTCATCAAAACTTTAATATTATTACTTTCATCTCGAATCAGTAGATCATAAAATAAAAACAACATCAGACTAATAATTAAACGAATATAATTTAATATTTATTTTGTCAAAATGTCATCATCATCATCATCAGAATTGACACTTGAACTAAGTTCCAAATCTTTCGATGGTTATCAATATATTTATAGTCATGATAGGTATTAATAAAAAACGTTTGTTAATTGCTGAATCTCATTCAATTTTTAGTTTAACAGTTGATTGTAAAATGAAATTTGGTGTTTATGTTCCATCAGTAGCTGATAATGAAAGTGTACCTTTATTAATATTTCTTTCTGGTTTGCTAGATTCTATTATTTAATCAAAGATAAAAAATTCTTTTTTGTTAGGTTTAACTTGTAATGAACAAAATTTTATAATAAGATCTGGTGTTCAACGTTTAGCATCAAAATATGGTTTTATTGTTGCTAATCCAGATACAAGTCCTCGTAAGAAAAATATTTTTATCCTATTTTCTTGAGCATAATCTAAAAGGAGTGGCAACATATATAGGATAGGAATTTACATATGACATTGAATATGACAGACACATTAAAAATGGATCAACCAAGACTTGACAAACATAACCATAGAAACATCTCGGACGGTGACAGACGTTGCTAGTATACGATCAAATTCAGATTTTGACTTTTAATAGAATTACTCAATAGAAAATATTCTTCTCTTTCGATCTACGTAATGACGACAATTGTGACTAGTTCTGTTCGACAGTTATACAACTTTTTGTGAGACTCCTGATTTCAGCCAATTGATCTGTGGTCATTCAAAAAGCAGCTAAGCAAGAGTAATTCACGATTCTGAGTCGAATGGTGACTTTTCATTTTAAGTTCAAAATGATCTAACTTTGTTGTTTCTATACCCGATGATCATAAGTCAATTGACTGAAATTAGAAGTCTCATAACTTTTCAAGGAAGCAAGCTACGCAAGTCGGTCTTGCATAGATCGAAAGAAAAATAGTTTTAGAATATCATTTTCGAAAATCTTCACTAACATTATATTTTAATTTAGATAATACTCTTCCTATTGTATTTCTGAACGTAGATAGAATAAAACAATTTGTTTGTGATTAAAAACAGCAACTACATCGTGTTTCACATTTTAATTCTACAGAGATTATGCCAAACGCTTTGTTCCTTTTTTTTGTATATTACTATAGGTGGTTGTAATATCGAAGGTGATCATGATCAATGGGATTTTGGTGAAGGCGCTGGATATTACGTAGATGCAACCGAAAGTAAATGGTCAACAAATTATCAAATGTTTTCGTATGTTAATGATGAATTTTATGAATTAATTATAAAAAATTTTAATGTTGATATTAATCGTATAGGAATTTTCGGGTAAATATAGAATATTTTAATAATAAAGGATCCATGTTCTTTCGTTTTTTTTTGTCTTTTAAGACATAGTATGGGTGGTCATGGTGCCTTAATTAGTTTTTTTAAATGTCCTTCTCAATATAAATCTGTTTCAGCTTTTGCACCCATTTGTAATGTATCGAAATGTGAATGGAGTAGAAATGCATTTATAAAATTCTTTGGACAAAGTTAGATGAAATTGTTTAGTTTTTTTTTTGCATTGTAAAAAAACGAAAGATTTTTCTTTTCTAAAGATGAAGACCTTTGGAAAGAATATGATGCTTGTGAACTTGTTGCTTTATATGATGGTCCAATGCCATATGCACCGGTTTTAATTGATCAAGGTTCAAATGATCAATACAAAGATAATTATTTATATCCAGATAAATTTATTGAAGCTTGTACAAATGCTTCATTTCCAATACAATTACGTGAACAAATTGGTTATGAACATGGTTATTTTTTTATTATGACTTTTTTAGAAGATCATTTTAAATATCATAAAAACGAATTTGAACATGGAAATTAAATAAAAAAGAAAAGAAGAACCGTGATTAAGGCAAAGCTTTTATTGATAATAATAATCGGTGTTTCGTTCTTTTTTCGATCATGTCGGATTCTCTAAGAAGGTAAAACTGATCTGCCTGAAATTTTTATCACAGATAGAACACCAAAAATAAGAGAACAGGTGTTTGAAAAAAAACCCTGATTTTCTACAGAATCACTTGGGGTCCACTTACGATACTTCTCTAACTTTGCCCGATCGAGATGAACAGCTTTTCGACGATACCTTAAACAATATTCCAGAGATGATTTTAGGTTTTTCTAAAAATCTTGCTTCTTTTGTGAAAGAAATACGTAAAGATTCGGATTCAAAATCGAGATGTTGTGTTTCAGACTCTAGAAATCTAGATAGGAAAGTCGAAAACGAAGATGATCGATGTCACTTCTTTAAAATACTTGCAATTATCTGTCATGGAAATTTCAGCCCGATCGGACAAAACTCGAGATGAGTTGTAAGCAGACCCAATAAGTTTCAATTAATTAGAAACCGGGATTTTTCAGGAGAAAAAAATCACGAAAACTTTGTTTTGAATTTCTTTGCTCGAACACGTGTCCAATGTAAAGTGGCCAAAAAATACAAAGTTTGGTTACGAAAATGTTTGATGATCGTTATCAATACAAAATATCGTTGGATAGATATAGATACAGGATGACCCCAACATGCATACAAGCAATTTACACTCGATTTGGTGAAACTTCGTCATGAAGTTGTTGGACAAGCTGTATCTTTTATGGCTTCATAGCAATCATGAGCTTCATCGATTTTCTCTTTTGTAATTTTCGAAGACCTTTCAGATTGTTTCTCATTTACGACTAACTGATTCCAGAAAAGCATTTCTTCTCCAGCCCATGATTGGCGTTTGTAGGTCAAAGTCAATTTGCATTTTCTTTTCATAATGATTAGTGACGCAACTTTGACCTTTGCACAAAACTAATTATTTCTATTCTAATGTTTATATGTATCGACATTTATCTCAAAAATAGACGCAACAAAACTTCAAAGAATATACTACGATATTAGAAAAAAATATACACAAATCGTTTGAAATATTGACGAAGTACTCACGTAAACTTTCCGCATTGAGTTTTGAGACATTGTGACCTTACAAGCATTAGTCGAATCCTATTTCTCTTATCATTAGTAAGCAGCTTCCAACATCTCAAATGTTTATGATAGATAATTATGTCACTTGAGTGCTGATCTTGTTTTTTGAAAGGAACATAATAATAAATGTTCTTAAAGGAATGCGATACTTTTATACAAGATAAGTAAAAATGTTTTGCTATTTATGTTCCTTCAATTCCGATATTTTTCGGTCTAAGTTTCAGGTTTCTTCCGAAAGATAATAATATGAATGTGAAAGATGAATATTATCTGATATTTTTTTAAAATTGATATTCTTTTCTTTATATATGGTTTAGATAGAGCATGACAAGCGAATCAACAATATGTGCGTTTTCAATTTTTCTGATATGATTTTTTAGTGAAAAATCTTCAATTTTTCCAAATGACCTGTCTTTCCTGAAAAATAAGTCGATTTCCTATAATCGACCAATTTTCAATTTTTTCACTTCATTTTTATTTCCAAACTCTTTATTTCAGATTAAGCGTGAAAAATTGAGCATAGGAAATTCATTTATGAGACTATTCAGATACCACATAAATATTTAACTAGAACTGCTAGATATTAAACATTCATGTCAGAATTGTCTCGGTGTTAATCTATATTTGACAGCTCTCCCTAAATTTACCACTTGCGTACTCAAAATAATCATATATTCGGAATCAGCATAGAAAAGTGAGTGCATATATAAATGTGTCAAAATATTCTGAGAACTAGTTTTTTCTTCCAGAAAATATCCCCCTGACCTGTCTTTTCAGGGTTAGGTTAAGAAATCAGTTTGCTTAAAATGAACTCTGATTATGCAAAAAAGGTTATGCGAGTGCTGTATGGCGGTAGGTTCCTATGATGCATGAAAATTGACCAATAACGGTATTTTTGAGTAAATTGAATTTTCGACTTAACTCTAAGAGAGACTAGAGGAATATCTTCTGAAGGAACAAACAAGTTCTTAGAATATTTTGAAACACTCATATATGTACTCAGTTTTCTATGTTGATTCCGAATATATAATTATTTTGAGTACAAAAGTAGTAAATTCAGAGAAAGCAGCCAAATATAAATTAATACAGAGACGATTCTAGCATGAATTTGTAATATCTAGCAGTTCTAATGAAATATGAAAGTTAGTTGTATTTGTTTGTAGAAAAAAACTAGATAGCTTTATAAAGATATTTCTATGAAATTATAACCACTCTTCTATACGGTATTTAAGTAGCCTCATGAGTTCCCTGTATTCAATTTTCCATGCAAAGTCTGACATAAAGTGTTCAGAAATTTAAAAAAAAATAAAAAATTGAATATTTGGCAATAATTGAATATAGATGTATTTGTTCAGGAAAAGCAAGTCATCTGGAAAAACTGAAGATTTTTCACTAAAAAAAATCATTTAAAAAAATTGAAAACTCACATATTCTTGATTTGTTCGTTATGCTCTATCTAAAACATATGTAAAGAAAAGAAAAAACAAACTTTTGCTTTAATCTTGCATTTCCGGCAACTCAGGCAGGGATTAATTTCTAACAATATATATGTACATACGTTTTGAATATTTATATCTGTCATTCAAATGACGTACTATTCAATGAAGTCCTGTCTTGTATTAATAAAAAATATAAGAATAATAATTTGATGATAATTTTTTCTATTTCGATCAACTAAATTTTTGTAAAAATTATTCAATAAATTGTTAAACATATTTTTATAGTTACAAATTAAAGCGAAAGATAAACACCAATAATAGTGAATTGTACGCTAGATTTAGAAAAAGAAGCTGCTGGTAAAGAAATTCAAATGTTATTTTAATAATATATTATATTTCAAGATGAAATAGACTGAAAAAAAAAAACAAATTATATTACGAAGTATTGGATGAGTTATTTAGTGATGAAATTTTATCTGACAATAATAATGCTAAATCTGTTGATATTTAACTCCTAGAAAATCTATAGGAAGAACATTAAACAAAACAAAATAAGATAAAAACAAGTTTCCAACACCTGAAAACTATTGTGAACAAAGAATGGAACAAATAACTTGCAATGGCTGTACAAAGAAAAGGAATTAATAAAATTCCGAAGAGACTTAGCGGATTAATAAAAGATGGTGGAAAACAAATACATGATAGTAAAATGAGATTTGTTTAAGCAGATAAATCATTGTAGATTGATAAAGTATAAAATATTTTCCACTCTGAATAAAACATCTCCTTGATCAATTTCGAAAAATTCATCATCATATTCTCATTTCTATATTTTTATTATTTAATGCTTATCTAGATAAATTTGATTAGAGGTTAATGTCCATTTATATATAAATTAATTTTGTCGAGTCTTCAAACTTAGGAAATGCCCTGTATCTTAATCTGACAATTAACTATGCACCAACATCGAAAACAGACTGGAAGGCTTGAGTTCGAATATTTCCTCTACCAGGAATGAGTGAAACCAAAAAGTTCGTGCTTGGTGTATCTCTTGACAATGTTCGTAGAATGATGTCTTGCTGATAACGCATATCGAGTCCATAGTTGATCAACATAATTTTTCGCATTACAATTGTTTTTAGATTTTTGGCTACATTAACATTGTTTTTAAAGTTATGTTTAATATCAAGTTAGTTTGAATCTGATGAATAGAATTTATTAGAAAATATTTTATTGGTTCATCTTTTCCAGATTTCAAGAAATCTTTGAAAACATCTAAAATAAAATTTTCTTCTATTTTTGTAAACAAAGACATTTTTATCGATATTAATAAGATTTTGTTTTAAAATAAATGTATAAAACAATTTATTAAAATTTTCTAGACTTAATCTTCAAAAAAAACTTCTAAATATAAATAAAGAAATTAAATTGGATAAATAAAAAATATGCTTATTAGAATTATTTAATGTTACATTGAACCATAAAGTATGATTATATACAATAATTTCAATCTCTTTTAATATTAATTCGTCATTGCAACTATCTCTATTACATATAATTAATTCAAGTACTTTTTCTATTGATTGTTTTTTTGATGATGTAATCATAAATACATATTCTAATTTTGTGTTCGAATCTGAATAACATCCTTGTTCAAAAAGAACAGTATTATTAATAATACATGTTGGATAGTCATATGTTAAACATTCAGTTTTTTTTCCAGTTTTATAGTCATAACAACGTAAGATTGAGGATTCATTACTGTCATAAAGTAATTTACTTAACTGATTGATTGGATTTATCTGTGTATTGAATAAATTAAATAAAGTTTTCACATAATACAAAGCACAATTATCCGTTGTTTCACATATAATATATGCACTAATAACTAATTCCTTAGTATCAAAAGATTCCACTAAAAATAAGAAATATATTATAAATTTAAAATCATTTTCATTTGCTATTTCTTCTATTTCATTTTCTATGATATGATCATCTGAACCAAATGAATATGATATATGTGATTGATTATTAATGTCATCATAGTAAATCATTATTCGTCCATAACATCTTGTTGCTCGAGTATCAGTAACACATTTATACTTTTCTGATGGTTCATCAAATGGTTTCGAAATATTTATTTTAATATTATGACATTCAGAAAAACATGATAATTGATTGCTAACAGGAAACATAAAGTTTAAAAATAAAAAGATATTTCTCATTTTTTGTAAGATTACCGCTAAATTGAATTTCATAAAAACTACTAAATGAATACGAACTGTTCAAACAATAGAATTTTCAGACAAATATACTCGTTAATTAATTTGTTTCATTTTTACGATTATTATTAGTTTTTATTTCTTTTGATACGTCAAAATGTCAATAACTAAAAATTCGAGCAAAATTTTGTTTTGCGATATTTTTGCATGATTCGTTAGAGCTCGACGAACTCTACGAGACACTTTGAAAAGTTTCACTTTTTTATTACTATTTTTTATGATAAGAAGTTTAGGAAAATGGTCATTAAATGCAGCGTGAGAAAACTAAATGTAGTGATGCAGTTTAAATCAAGTGACTAGATGTAGTTTTTCACATGATATCTAATGAATACGTTCCCAGGCACATTACATTAAAAATAATAATTGGAAAAACTGAATTTGTTAGAAAATTGAGCAACTTTGTTCTATATGGAAAAAGTGGAGTGTTCTAAAGTTTCTTGTAAAGTTGATCGAAAACAATGAATTTGAACATTTTTAACATAGATTTTCTTCTACTATAGAACTCGTCGAGCTCTATGAATCATATAAAAATATCCCACGAAAGATTTGCTTGATTTGTGAATTGCTGGCACTTCACTACTGTCATATTTCTATTGAATACTATTTGCTTTTCTAATCAACCAGAATGTGTAACAAGACTGAAATACTCTATAATGAAAGAGAAAATTAATTTCGCTCATATATATATATAGCATAATGATGGGATCAAGATAGATGGAAATAAGCGTATAATGATATTGAGCAACTCGCCTTTGGCATATGATTAATTATATCTATTAAATATATCTCATAGAAATTTTAATTTACTTTTTATTTATCAATAGGGGTGAGAAAGTTATTGTTATTTTTTTTTGTTATTATAACAATAACATTCACTTTTTGATTCAAAAACATTAATGAAACAAGTGTAAGCATAGTTTNAAAATGAAATAGAAGAAATAGCAAATGAAAATGATTTTAAATTTATAATATATTTCTTATTTTTAGTGGAATCTTTTGATACTAAGGAATTAGTTATTAGTGCATATATTATATGTGAAACAACGGATAATTGTGCTTTGTATTATGTGAAAACTTTATTTAATTTATTCAATACACATAAGTAAAATAGAGCGGCTTTATATCACGGACATTCTTGTTTCCTAATGCAGGACTCTGATATGGACCGTAACAAAAAATAATAATGTTGAAAGTTCCTGCTGTTTGACGTTTGCTTTTACGCAAATGTGTTGGAAAAATACGCATTACAAGTTGATAAAGCTAATGGCGAATATATGCCTCGAGGTTACCAAAAAATTAAATAAATCAATCGTAAATCTTATTAATTCTTTCATGCATTCTACTTCCGAAAAATTAATTATTTGAGTTAATAGTCTGATCATAATCAAATATAATTTTTCTGACTATTTAAGAATACCAATCAAAGCATCGAAACCAAAACGTTGTGTTCTTTCTTGCAATAATTTAGTTTCGACAGTTGTTCGTAATATGATATTTGCCCTTACTATCTCATAAGTTTTCTTTTTCAATGAGAATCCTCATTCCGATTCGAAGTCATCCCTTGGCTACATGTCGACATAGAAAAACAAGAAAAGAAAAACACTACGGAATGGGATCATATTGAAGAGCTGTTAGCAAGTTCTCTGTTTCTGTTTTTTTTCTTTCATTATCCTCCTTACGTCCAATGAAAGTCTTAACTATTTTACATTGACATTCCTCACTGATACTATCTATCACATCATTGACTCAAGAAATACAACACAAGGAAGAAACAAAGTAGAGCAAAAACTTTGTACGAGAATAATTTGTTTAAATATTTAGAATATATCACATTTTGTTCACAGGCTTGTTTTATAATCATATTAATAAACAAACTATGGCACAAATACAAGAATCACATGGCTATTTTGATGAAGTAAGAAATGAAATTAAAATTTTAAATAATTTAGTACGATTCAACAATATTGAGTAACTTAAAAAGAGCATATGTCAATTAATGTGAAGTATTTTTGAAATCAATCAAGGATACGAGAGAATCATTAGATCTTCCTAATCTTTGTTTTTGCCCGTAAAAAATAGTGACATTAGGGAAATTATTTCTTTTATCTTCAAAAACGCTCGAACATCTATTATGTCTATTACGATTATTCCCACACGCAATGTGACATTTATTTCATAATAATCGTTTGTGCTGTTAAGGGAAATTCCTGTAGTAATGACGCGAATAATGCCAAAGAAGCCACAAGATTCTTATTGGAACAAGAGGTTTAATATGAAACTTTGCATATCTTCTAACATTTTTCATTCAATGGCAGGAAAAGACAATAACAATTAAGTGGAAAGATGAACATAACAAAAACTTTATGTAAAGTAAGTGTAGTCGAAAATAACAAAATGAGAAAAGGGTACAACATGAAGTAGAAATTATTGAAACAGTAATAAAGATTATATGTAGTTTAGGAGAAAATTTCATCTCTCAAAGCTTTTGGATGATTTTAGAATTGTAAAGTTTTATTTAAATATTTTTCATCAATTGAAATTTATTGAGATCAGGCAATATATATCAAGAATAAATATAGATTTAATTGGTTTTTTGATAAGTTTAGTTTAGCCGACAAATTTTACTCTTGCCATAAATTCTAACAAACAATTTTTAATGAAATGAAGATCTTCTTTTATGAAATGTTTATTCTCCTAAAACTTTGTCCAAATTCAAAATTTTATTATCCTGATCTCTTTATATCACTGACGTTTTCGTTTATTATAGTCAGTGAAAAATCTCATCAGAAGATTAAATATATTTAATAAACTATGATACCACTTATACATTTCCGCTCTTGTAAATCTTCATAAAAAAATGATGAAGATTTCTAAAGCCTGAATATATGAGATGAATAAAGAAGAAGAAAAAAAACACTTTCTAAACAAAGTTAAGAGGTCGCTATTATAAGTCAAGAAGTATAAACTTTACAATGAAAAATATATATATAGTAACAATTTCTAATGAAGTACAATTACGTCTATTAATAGCAAAAACTTAATAGAAAAATAAAATAAAAAAATTTGTCTTCAACAATTTGAATATGATGTTTCACATTAGTCGAAAAGAAATTTTTAAAATCGAAAAAAAAAATGTTTTTCATCATTTAGGATAATATTCTTTCTCGAAATAGTTTATCATTATGTAAAGCTAATTACTTTGAAACATGTTGGTGTAAAGTAAATTCAACTGAATCAATAATATGTCCATATTTATTACGACATGTGATTTCATTTTCAAATTCATCCTATTTTTGTGTTTATCATACAATTCGAAAAGCTATTGAATGTTTCAATTCAACGTCAATTTTTCCAAAAAATGATTCAGTTTCAACAATTTATGTTTATTTAACAATAGTCATATTTACAATAGGTTTTATTGGAAATGGTTTATCAATGATAATTTTATTAAATAAAACATTACGTCGTTTAGGTTTTTATCGTAATTTAACTATACTATGTGCTTTCAATATTTTCTATTTATTGGCAATATCAATTCGTCATATAAATACTTATAGTCAAGATTTACGTCATATTTCACCAGAAGTATGTCGTTTACATACATTTATTGTAGCATTTACTGGACATCTTTGCTCATGGCAACTTGTTTCAACAAGTATTCAACGTGTACATGCATTATTTGGTTTACATCCTCATCAAACAAAATCATGGGTATGTAGAAGTAGATAATTAATTTTATGAATTGATTTAGAGTATCATCTTTTATTCTATTTATATTATCAAAACTTAATATTGACTCCGCATTGTTTTCGGCTGAAGAATAGTACAAATAGGATTCCTCTGATTGTGTTCAGATGACTAGTTATGTTATGAATTGAATTGAAAAAAAATCTGCTCATTGGATTTGATCATCGAGTTTCTATCATTTTTCGAAGTTTTCTAACATTAACCGACCTTTTATTATTATTCTTCTGAATAAATAAATGAATAGAATCATATAGGAGACGTATTTTTTTGTCTATTCCCATAATTATAGATTCATATAAGGGATTCTTTCTCCTTATCATTTGTTATCCAAAAATAGATATAGAACAATATTACAATATTACGGTTTTCAAAATTTATTAATTATATTTCTTGCTCTATTTGGTTTTGTGTATATGAGACTGGTGAGAGGAAGCAGTTTCAGATTGTAATAGTCATTTCACCGGATGGAAAAGTGCTGTTCCCTGTGTGACCTTGTTTTTACATCTCACTGTATATATTGTGTTTACATCTTTGGAAAATGGCTCACTTCCGTTAAAATCGCACTTCCTTTAAACTAAAAGCACATTCAAATCACCCATGTTACAAAATCAGATGTCAGCTCTTGTACGATCAGATGAAATCGTACAGAAAAAGATTGTAGCCTTAAAAATCCTATATTAAATCGTACTGCAAGATTCTTGAAAGATCTTCCCGTTACACATTAGATTTCATATAATGTTATAGTGATATCTTTCAAGAATCTTATAGTAGTCGCAAGAAATTCCAATACCCTATATAAAGTATATAAACTTTGATCCTTTTGCCTGATATGTTGACTATACTTAGAGATCAACAAACCATGACCGCAGGCAGCAACTCGGGGTCGATAAATGTTAATGCAAAATATTTACGATGAAAACCCTATTATTTTGCTCGAGGACCCTAAAAACGTTTTTTTGACACTTTCATGATTTTCCATTATTTAAATGCGTTAACTATCATTTTCTTATTAATTAATAATGATTCGCATGCCTATATAATGTCATACAAATAGTATTTCAATGCGCTGTAATCCTAAGGTGTGGAGAAGCCTCCATTATATGGAGCCGTCTCAGTATGGATCTGTTCTCCATCGACGACTGCAACTGTGAAATTATCAAGAAAAACTTTCTTAGAGCAGTAGAGTCATCTGAGAAAATTTCAAGGCAAATGATTAAAATTAGTTGAAGATATCGATCACTTTTCGACGATTTTCATCAGTTCCTATTTGGAGATTACGCAAAGAAAACTTCATAAACTAGACAAACTAAAACCATTTGATATGAAATTTTTATTGATAATAGAGGTACTGCTGAACTATTGTATGAGGGGCTTAATGTCATGAGATTTGCTTTCTTTATTGAGATATCTTCATCTGAAGAAAAAATTTTTGAAGACTGATCAAGTTCTGATTAGTTCTTGCAATCAAAATACATCATTCTCTATTTGTAGTCAGTCTATGAGACTAAAAGATTAAAATTTAGTTACTTTTTACGACTACTGTATCATAACCATACGTGAGACTTTTCAGTCAATGTTTTTTTTTTGTACAGCTTTCGTCTAATTTTTGATCTCAGATGTGATATTTATTGAAGATTACGTCAGAAAAGTCGTTAATATCCAGCATGAAGAATACGAAATTCGTATGCACTCCGAGTTTCCTCGTATATAGCCAGGCGTATTTGACCTTGGAAAAATCCACAAGTATCAATTATCATTTATCGCCGGGAGCATAGCTTCTCAAAAGAGATACTTTTTCAAATAATATATAGCTAATAAATGATTTAAATAGCTGCAATCTTTATAACAATATTTAGCTTACCGACTTTCATTATATTGTAAACTATTCAAATCTAACGTTATTAGAAAATTATCGTATCTATTTTAAAAAATTAATAACAATTCAAGAGAAAAAAAATCTCCAAATGTTAAATAATATTAATAGCAGATTCTCTTGTGTAATGATTTTTATTCATTATTTTTTATCGATGCCTTTTTAATTTATTTTACCATAGTTTCGATCTTGTTTTTTTTGATCACATTTCTTCAAATATTCTGTAATGGTTGACTTTTCTTTCATTGGCATTGAATACCTCTAAGATTTGTTTCCTTGTCTTATGATCTTATCTCTTCCTGGCAAATTTTACTACTTTATAGTTGAATGTCTATCATGGATTTATGACTTTTCGTACACTGATGAACAGATGTATATGTTTTTTACAAGAAAGGCGGGCACAAAAAAAACCAATCATAATAATTGAGTAACCAAGTGATATTTAAATAGATATACAGTTAGAAATATTGAAAAAAAAATAACTACGAATAAATATTAAATATGCTATGCATATTTATTAAGTAGTGCTAGAAATGTCTATAGAGTGCTTGGGGTTAAATATTTATTGAGTTGAAGATCGTAGAAAAATAGTGAGCAGCTACGAATAAATATTAAATAGCTATACGGTTAGAAATAGGAGAAAGCAAATTTTGGGAAATATATTTAGGATATACATTGGATATTTCTTCACCTTAATTATTTCTTGTTCCACCAAAAAAACTGAACGCAATTGAGATAAAATCAAGCGATTTACTTAAGTGTAATATTTGTTTCTAAACAAAACCTATGTGTACTCAGTTCAGTAAATGATCAATAGTCTGCAATGTGTTAGAATATGAGATCATTATTCTGACTGTGAACTTCTTCTGATCCTGTGAGAATTTGTTATATATTACTAAAAATCCAGTCTACGAGTGGATAAAATTTTTCGTACAATTTTGTTTAAAATGTAACTTCATTAAAAAGATGTTTTTGTGAGGTAATCACGTTTTTCATGGACGAAATTTTTCGCACGATTTTTAAATCAAATTATTTTTCTTTTGAAAATGTTTAAAAGAAAAAAAAGAATCCGAATTCATATGAACAAATAGAAGGAAAAAAGGGATTACACTTTAGCAATTAAAATTGTCCAAAGAAAACTTTCTAAAAAGTAACTTACCTATTTTACACTAGATATAGTATGATATATATGTTAATTATTTATTTCTGTATTTATGTGAAGAAATTTCTTTTCAACTACAACATTCGATCATTAGGACAATGTTTCTGAAAATGATTGTTGAAGATTTTCGCTAGCTTGAAAACGTTATTTCAATAATGTAATACTGTTGTTCAAAAGAATTTCTTCATGTAAATATGGAGATAGAGAATTAATATGTGTATCATATTATATCTACAGTAAAATAGGCATGTTACTTCATAAAAAGTGTTCCTTTGAAAAGTAGCCTATCTTCTCTGGTATTTGTTCATATGAATTCCGGTTTTCTTTTTGGTCTAAACATTTATTTTCAGAAAAAAATAATTTAATTTTGAAATCATAGAAAACTTTTTGTTCACCATTGTATATATTTTCCATTATCAAATAAATTTCCTGATCCAATTCGAGCCCAACTCAATGTCATACAGTGAGTGGTTTCTATTAAGCACGTAGATATGATTTATTTTCTTTCAAAAATGCAATTTTTTTCATAGAAATATTAGCTTCTTGTACGTAAAAATAAAATTGATAAGATAAAGACCTTTTGCAAAGTATAATACATGAAGGTGACCTTCATCCAAAACTCCAGTATTTACAAAATTAGCGAACGATACATTAGTCAATACTATTTTTTACGCTAAGTTCAAACATATCTGTATTTTTCTCTGAAAGTCCTGTTGTGACAAAATAAGTGTCAACAACCTTTAATAGTCAAGGTTTTTAGAAAATCTGTATCTCAATTCAGAAACATTTGCGCTAACTAAGTATTCGTCGCAGATATCGAAAAACATTCTCTGAAAATTTCATCGATATTCGATTAATTAGTGAAAAAAAAAATCGGCGGTAACCTTTATTAAAAACATCTTCTCCGAAAACTCTCAGTGTACAAAGAATAATTATTTTTTCGTATAAATCGATAGAGCAAAAGTTCTAGTTTCAGATTTATTGTGCAACATGCTTTTTATTTTTCTACAAAAAAATGAAAGTTTCTTTTTTTTTTGTAGAAGTGTATGTCATTCATTAGATAATAATCTGTAGAACTTTAGATATATCATACTCTTCAGACAATAGTATCATTTTGAAACAAAGAAGTTATGTGAATGAAATAATTTGCTGAACTAGAAACTATGTTTTTTTTTTCTTCTTCTTCACTAGATACCAACATTGAGTATTCTTTTTATTTGCATTATTTTACCATTATTTATTTTTGATGCTCAAATATTATTTAATTATGGTATTCTATATAAACATCATATGTGTCATGATAGATCAAGTTATGAAACGAAACAATTTCAACGTGCAATTAATTATCCAATAAATAATTTAAAGTTTTTAAAAAATGTTTCTATTCATTATCATAAAAATTTCTTTCAAACTCGAACAATAACACCGATTAAATGTACTATTTGTTTTCTATGGAATATTGTTGATACATTTGTTTATGCGATTATACCATTTTTAATTATATTAACAAGTAGTATAATAATTATAATTAAAATATATGAAAGACGTCGTTCAATGGCTAATTCTGGTGGAAAATGTCATATAAATCGACGTATTATTTCGTCACAAGATAATTCATCAATACTTTTAATAGTAATAAATTGTCTGTTTTTAATAATGACAGGACCTTTTAATATGAATCTTATAATTCAATCAATATCAAATTATTTTTTTTCAAAATCATCATCAATAAAAATTTTCTTACAATTAAATCAATTTTTACGTTTAATTCAAAATTCTTATCATGCATTATCTTTTATATTTTATTGTGTTATTGGTAATAAATTTCGAAGTTCAGCATTATCTTTATGTCGATTAACTTATTCAAAATCATTTCAAGTTATTTTTGGACACCAACAAATTCAAACATCAATTATTTTACGTTGCTTAGAACGAAAACGTATACAAAGTCTTATACCCACTACAACATCAACAAGTACAGATAGTGATAATAAACCTATATCTAATTCATTAAATACCAATTTAAGCATAAGAAAATCTTATATAACATATGGTTCAGTTCAAAAAAGAGTTAAAATATTACATACGGCTGTATAATAAAAAAACAAAGAAGAATTGAAAATAGTGAAAGATTACTCTTAAAATAACATTTCGTAATTATAACTCATAACAAGCTGTATAATGATTAACAATTCATCGATTATTTACGAACTAAGTATCTGGTCGATAAGAAATAGATTTCAGCAGATATATTCAACGAAGAATACACAATCATATGAATGATATTCAATCAATTTAACTGTCTGTATCAAAATGATAACATTTATTATAACAAAGCATTTGTCATAAAGCATTTCATTACTTTTACATCGAATAATCTATTACGTCACAAACATTTAAAAATTCAAATATGAGCATTATTAATTAATAATGTTAAATTATTGAACAAAATTATCAGAATAAAATTGTTTCTATTATATATCATAGATAGACTATGAGGATAAAGCTTCAGAATAGTAGCAAAAAAGTAGTTTTCTCATTCTCTTGTCCGATTCAAAATACAAGGCGAGTTGTCATTGTTTGAATAACTTTTGATAAAAATAAGATAGAGACGTACGGTTTTCACTGTTCGAAACAGCGATGCTCGGAGTATCAATTTTTGTAAAACTCATTAGGGGAAAGGATGTTTTTTTTTATAGGTGCTTTTGAATGGGCACTTTTTTCTTGGTGTATTTACATCAATCTACACAGTAATCTTAATTCAAATTATATAAAAATGTAGTTCAAGTGACTTTTTTTTACCATAAAATTATCAAATATTTCATTATCTCTCAATCTTTTATTCTAAGCGAATTTACAAAAAATGTGTCGATTCAAAAGCACCTATACAAGAAAAAATCTCTTTTGTTTCAATGAGCTTCATACAGATCGATACCCTGGATATTGCTCTTTCGAACGGTGAAAATCACAGGCCTCAATCTTGTTCTTATCAAAAGTTATTTAAAAAAAGACAATTTGCCTTTTATTTGGAATCGGACAATGAAGGGCTTTATTGTGAAATTACTTTTTTTTTTTATTAGTACCAATAATTCTTGAATACAATGAAAATTCATTACTTTTTTTACGGCTTCACCTTAAAATATTACAAGCAGCATAGAAAACAAATAAATATAAAATTCATCAAGACCACTTAATTTCAACAAATCTTCATCTTATTTTTCTTATTATGATGTTATTTAAAAAAAATACTTCATAGAAAGTCTTCTGAAACATGAAAATTACTATTTATCGATTCTTCATAAGCCCTAATCTTATAGTTTATCTATGAAACCTGCATATCGAATACATTTGATAGAGAATTTGATTGACTATTCAAATTATCATTTGGTTTTGAATTAGATAATTATGAGTATAGATTTTTAAAAAAATCAAATGTATCTTTTTCATATGAAATTGTTTCGTATCCTATATTGGTTTATTGCCTTTACAATGACTATATCTTTTTCTTTTATTTATGGCTGTTCAATGTTGTTTTTGTTATTATTTATTTCTAATTTGATTCTGAAAAATAACTAATTGTATTTATCAATGTATCATACCGTCGCTAAAATTTTTTTTTAGTACTTAGTTGTTTCGTATACTTCTAGAAAACAATAAAAACATTATAATACATGTATAAATATATATACCTGATCAAAATAAATGGCACATACTTGTTCTTGCTATCCGTCCTTCACACAAGGGAAATTAACTTTCCTTATATGAAGGATGAATACAAAGGAAAGGTATACTTCCTTTATTTGATTAGGAGGTATTGTTAATTTCTTAACGAATCAAAAAAATGTTTAAAATATGTCAATTTAAGGGTATAAGTTACTATCAAGTGATTGGTTTTTGATTCGTATAATTATATAGATATTTACTAATAATAATCATCAATAACTTAGGTAACAAGAATGAATAAAAAGACACTGGGAAATTGAATGAGGCCCACTTTTTCATATTACAGGAAGAAAAAAGAAAAACAAACCTTAGTCTCATGTGATAGCACACGAGACTCATTCGACCCTAAAAAATAGCTGAAATAATCATTACTTTTTTGTCTTGACTTTTTGTCATCACAATATCATAAATGAATAAAAAAAGGTAACAAAATTGTCTTATGTTCATAAATATTTTGAGAAATGATCGATAGACAGACGTACACATGATATTTGATTTTGACAATGAAAGAATCATAAAATTCATCATATTCTTCGTATAGAATTTGTTTTTTAAAAATTCAATAATATAATCAGAGTTGCAAAAAAAAATATTAAAAATAGTTGACAAAATTATCAAAGTTTATTTTCAAACAGAAGAAATGAAAATAAATTTATACTACTTATTATCAAGCTTAGGATCAATTTTTGACTCGATTAAGTTTTATATAAAACGATGACACATTATAACTGCAAATAATACCATGCAACTGTACTATTCTTATAAAATATTATTTTTAGTTCAACAGATGAATCAAATACGAATGCAAGTCAGTTTGAAATTGAAGTTCATGATGATAATAACGAACAACAATGTACCGATATATTAATAGAAACAACAACTGCAGTAAATACTGACAAACCTGCTGAATTATCTCCAACAATAGCAGCTCGTTTCTTAGGAGTATTTTATATATTAGCTTCAACATTTATTTTTGTAAGTTCAACATTTATAACAAAAGAAATAAAAGCAGATGTACTTGATGCACTTATTCCGTGTTATCTATTGCAAAGCATCATGTTGATTGTCTATATGAAATCAATAAAACATTATTCATTATATAAACAATCAAGCAAACAAGAAATAGTTTTTTTATTCGTCAACCTTTTTTTTTGTGCAACTGGTGGTTTTACTTTTGCTTTTGCTTATCGTTATTTAACATTACCAGATTTAACAACAATACGTTTTACACAAATCATTTGGACAGCAATAATAACTTCAATTCTCTATCGTGAAACACCATCTATATCAATGATAATATCTATTTTATTATCAACTTCGGGTGTGATATTTGTTGCTCAACCTAGTTTTATATTTAGTAAAATGTCGAATATATCTGAAACTAATATCTCAAATAATCATGATCAACGTTTAATAGGTATATTAATTGCATTATATGCTGCAATAGCGATGGCTATAACGGTAATATCAAATAAACATTTATTATCAAAATATAAAACAAAACAAAGTTTAATAATGTTCTTAAATGCATTTGCAACATTTTGGATTTTAGTTGGAAATGTATTTTATAAATATAATTTTTTTTTTGAAATGGAATCATTTAAAAAGGATTTTTTTAATTGGAGATATTTATGTGCATCATCGATTTGTTTATTGCAAATACTTGCATTAACGTTAGTACAGAAAGGAATTAAATTGGAACATCCATCAATATTTACAATACTTCAATCTAGTAGTATTTTATTCTCTATTCTATTACAAAATATTTTTTCATCAGAAAAATCGAACTTTTTATCATTACTTGGTTCAATGCTTGTTTTAACAAGTATATTAATAATAACTGGATATAAATTTATTAATGAGAAAAAAGATAAAAAGAAATCTGTACAAGCATGCTCTACTGAATAATTTTCATTTTGTATATTTTTCGTATTAAAATAAAATATCTGATTTTTCAATTCACTTAATATATTATTCATTGTCTCTGTTAGTATCATGCAACATGTTCAGGTATGTTACATCCAGCTTGACTCAGGTCATGAGTCCAGGTACAAACTTGACGAGGTCGGTCAGATTTGAAATCTTGACGTTTCAAAACAATGTTTTCTTTTTCAAACTGCTATATTTATCAAAGTGTAGGAATGAAAACCGGTTCGATTATGACTAAGCAATTTTTGTAGTTGAGAACAAGTCACAGAAGTGGAAATGATAATGTTTTACAACAAGAATTCGTTCTTAATGAAAACTCATTGACAGATAATGAGAAATCATATGACGAAATAATTGAATGTATGGAAAGAAAAATAAGTTACCAAAAAAGTGAACATACATGTATATATTATCGACACCAAGTGAATCTTGGATCACTTGCTAATTTGTGGAATTTGAGATGATCTCTTCTTTTTGTCGCTGCTTATGGAAGTTACGGAAGAGGTTACTTTTTCATATAAAGTAAAAATTTGAAAACTGTATTATAACTGTAATAATATTTGCCAGATGTTGATCAGCTTCAGTTTAGCTTCGAATGTTAAAAATCGTACTCTTGTAGAACGCTAGTCTCTATGGAAAAATATATTCATGCTTTGATTTAATTCCTTGATGTTTGTATCACACACTTCATATTCGTTGAATTCATAATATATTTATCAGTTTTATACTTGAATAAAAGGAAACCAGTGGAAAAGAGTAAGGCTCGTTTTTCAACTTCTTGACATCGTAATGGAATAGAATTAGGTTCTTTGCATAATCGAAATAAAAACAAAAAAGTTCACAGTAGTCATTTGAAAAAAAGCTGTTTAATTTATATTTCAAGTTTCTTTCATATATTCAGAATTTAAACAACGAAAGATTGATCATCTGGATTATCAACAATAACAGCATATGGGCAAGATTTAAGTCCATCAATTTTAGCTAAAAAATGTATACACATATGAATCGTAGCAAGAAAAGATTTTATCAGGAAATATATCCAACGGTCGAATATCATTCGACTTTATACGGGTACTACTCATCTAAAAATATGAAGTGTTCCACTGTTTGTTGTCTGTAGCTTTTGTCGAAAACATCATAGAAACCTGCGGTTTTCACCACTCAAAAAAGCACAAATGCAACTGTCATAGTATATCGAAATTCGATTGGTTAGCAATTGACCAATCCGGAGAGTTCTTAATGGGAGTTTCTGAAAACGATACTCTGAAGCTATTTTTCTCCCGATTTAGACATTCAAATAGGACTGCTCGATTGAAAAAATTCTTCCCTTTCAATGTACACAAGATCGAAACTCATAACTTGATCCGTTCGATAGCTATAAGACTTTTCCTGTCACTCCTGATTTCGACTAATTGACCTGTAATCATCAGGAAAAATAGCTATGTCAGGAATAATTTACCATTCTTAGTTGATCGGTGATTTTGGCTTATAGATTTAAACTCATCTGACTCTCTATTATCTTAATATTTCTGAACTGTCCACTCCTTCATTACATCGAGATTGATTGTAAGATTTCAGAAATATTAAGATAACAGTGTCAAATGAGTCCGAGCTTAAAACCAAATAACATCATTTCATTCCGCATGATGAACTATCCCTACCTAGCTGCTACTTTAGGTGATCACATCTCAATTGGCTGAAATTAGGGGTCTCACGAAAAATTTCGTAACTATTGAATGGAACAAGTTTGAAATGTTGGTCTTGCGTATATCGAAAGAGACGACTTTTTCTATCGATTAGTCCTATTAAAAATCTTAACTAAAAGAAAAATAGTTTGAGACTATAGTTTTCGAAAACTTCCACCAAGAATTCTTCTGATCGATGAGTTCATAGCCAATCAAAAATAGATATACTTCTATGGTTTCGGATCTTTTTTCTTCAATAATGAAAACCTCACGTCTCTATGATGTTCCTGTCAACACTTATTCAAAAATCAATCGAACACAACACTTTTTGAAATACATAGTACTTATGACTGGATTTTAGTCAAATTAAAAAAAGCTCGGAAGGATTCGATTTCATGACCTACTGATGAAGAGTTTTAGCTATTTGATTGAAATTTTTACTGAGANAGTTGTAAAAAAAATATTAAAAATAGCTGATAAAATTATCAAAGTTTATTTTCAAACAGAAGAAATGAAAATAAATTTATACTACTTATTATCAAGCTTAGGATCAATTTTTGACTCGATTAAGTTTTATATAAAATGATGACAGATTATAACTGCAAATAATACCATGCAACTGTACTATTCTTATAAAATATTATTTTTAGTTCAGCAGTTGAATCAAATACGAATGCAAGTCAGTTTGAAATTGAAGTGCAAGATGATAATAACAAACAACAATCTCTTGATCTATTAGCAGAAACAACAACTGCAGCAGATAGCAATAAGTCTGTTGAATTATCTCCAACAAAAGCAACTCGTTTCTTAGGAGTATTTTATATATTAGTATCAACGTTGATTGTTGTAAGTTCAATGTTTATAACAAAAGAATTGAAAGTAGATGTACTTGATGCATTAATTCCCTGTTACCTATTTCATAGCATCATACTAATTGTCTATATGAAATCAATAAAACATTATTCATTATATAAACAATCAAGCAAACAAGAAATAGTTTTTTTATTCATCAACGTTTTTTTCTCTACAACTGGCGTTTTTGCTTATTTTTTTGCTTATCGTTATTTACCATTACCAGATTTAACAACAATACGTTTTACACAAATAATTTGGACAGCAATAATAACTTCAATTCTCTATCATGAAAAACCATCTATATCAATGATAATATCTATTTTATTATCAACTTTGGGTGTGATATTTGTTGCTCAACCAAGTTTTATATTTAGTAAAATATCGAATATACCTGAAACTAATATTTCAAGTGGTCATTATAAACGTTTAATAGGTATATTAATTGCATTATATGCTGCAATAGGAATGGCTATAATGGTAATATCAAATAAACATTTATTATCAAAATATAAAACAAAAGAGAGTTTAATAATGTTCATATTTGAATTTGTAATATTACATATACTAGTTGCTAATGTATTGTTTAGATATAATTTTTTTATTGATAAAATGCAATTGTTTATAAATGATTTCTTTAATTGGAGATATTTATGTGCTTCATCAATTTGTTTATTACATATACCTGGATTTATCTTATTACAGAAAGGAATTAAATTGGAACATCCATCAATAGTTACCATACTTCAATCTAGTGGGATTATATGGTCTATTCTATTACAAAATATCTTTTCATCAGTAAAATCAAACTTTTTATCGTTACTTGGTTCAATACTTGTTTTAACAAGTATATTAATAATAACTGGATTTAAATTTATTAATGAGAAAAAAGACCAAAAACAATCTGTACAAGCATGCTCTATTGAATAAGTTTCGTTTTGTTTATTTTTGCGCATTAAAATAAAATATCTGATTTTTCAATTCATTTAATATATTATTAATTGTCTCTGTTAGTATCATGCAACATGTTCAGGTACGTTACACTCAGCTTGACTCAAGTCATGGGTCCAGGTAGAAACTTGACGAGGTCGGTCAGATTTGAAATCTTGACGTTTCAAAACAATGTTTACTTTTTCAAACTGCTATATATATCAAAGTAATGGAATGAAAATAAGTTCGATTATGACTAAGCAATTTTTTGTATTTGAAAACAAGTCACAGAAGTGGAAAATGATATTGTTTTACAACAAGAATTCGTTCTTAATGAAAACTCATTGACAAATAATGAAAAATCATATGACGAAATAATTGAATATATGGAAAGAAAAATAAGTTACCAAAAATGTGAACATGTATATTATCGATACCAAGTGAATCCTGAATCATTTGCTTATTTGTAGAATTTGAAATGATCTCTTCTTTTTGTTGTTGCTTATGGAAGTTACGGAAGAGGTTACTTTTTCATATAAAGTAAAAGTTTGAAAACTATATTATAACTGTAATAATATTTGCCAGATGTTGATCAGCTTTAGTTTAGCTTCGAATGTTAAAAACCGCACTCTTGTAGAACGCTAGTCTCTATGAAAAAATTTATTCATGCTTTGATTTAATCCCTTTGCTTTTGTATCATACACTTCATATTTGTTGAATCCGTAATATACCTATAAATTTTATACTTGAATGATAAAAAAATCATTGTAGAATATAATGTATCGGACAATCTTTTTTGAATAATTTTTGTGAAGAACATCATAGTAACCTGCACTTTTCACCACTTCGAAGAGAAGACTTGAAGCCATCGAATGATATCGAGACTTGATTGGTCAACAATTGACTTGTCAGATGAATTCTTGATAGAAATTTTCGAAAATAATTATCTAATCATATTTTTGTTTCGATTTGAACTTTTAATAGAACTACTTGTCAGAAACATTCTTCCTTTTCAGTCTACGCAAGGCCGATATTCTTAGCTCATTTCATTCAAGAGTTATAAGACTTTTCCTGAGACACCTGATTTCGGCTAATTGATCTGTAATTACTAGAAAAACAGCTAGACAGGAATAATTCATCATTCCACTCAACATGATGAACTATCCTTGCCTACCTGCCATTTATCTCAGGTGATCACATCTCAATTGGCTGAAATTAGGGGGTCTCACGAAAAGTGTTATAAATCTTGAAAATAACAAGTTAGAAATGTTCATTTTGCGTAGATCGAAACAGAAGAATTTTTTCTATTGATTAGCTCTATTGAAAGTCTGAATTGAAAGGAAAATAGCTTCAGAGTATCATCTTCGAAAACAAGTCTTCACCAAGGACTCATCTAATTAGTCAATCGATAACCAATCAAATTTCGATATTCGGTCTCAATGATGTTTTTATCAAAATTTATCCAAAAAATTAGTGTAGCACAACATATTTTCAGATAGATAGTTACCACAAGTTAGTTTTCGTGACTCTAGAAAAAAGCTTAGAAGAATTCGTAGTCATGAATTACTGGTGAAGAGTTTTAGTAGCTTGATTGAAATTTTTACTGAAAGGAGGAGATTTTCGACAAGCCTAAAGTAAAGAGTGTTCACTTGATATTTTGTGTATAGACAGATTTACAAGTGATTTTATAGTACTGAAAGTTTCAACGAAAGTGAGCATTTCTTTCTCAAGATATTATGTTTCTAAGTAGATTCAATTACTGCGTACTCCATTCGACATTTATTTTAGTTGAAACTTGCATGTTGATTTAATGACGATTAAATCTGTCTATAGACAAAATTTCAGATCAAAATATTTACTTTGAGTTTTTCGGCAATCTCTCGATTTCCGAAAAAAAATTCATTTAAACGAACATAATTCTTCATCAGTCAGTCAAGATCTCGACCCCTTTTAAGCTTCATCCCTAGACTTACCAGTAGTTACAAAATTTAATCAAATAACATCCGATGATTGGATATGTTTCCTCTTCAGGTAGAAAAAAAATAGGTGTGAAATATGGGTGTTAGAAGCTACTCTTCATTCTCACTTCATAAACAGACTGTGACAGATGTCGTTGATTTGCGATCACAAACTGTATATCAATAATGACTCTTTAAAATGTATTAATTACTTCCTTCAAGTATTTCTGCAGGATTAACCCTTTCGTTACGGGGCCCGTATATATACGGGCTGAGCTTTCACTTGGATTACTTCTGTGACGTATATGATTTTCCTACTTTACTACAGTTCTGTAAGAGCATGATTTTTTATTCTCTATCTTATCCGATGTCTTTTTTTGTATACTTGTCCTAGCTAACCTTACAGGAATCGTACTTAGCGGCGTAACNTCTCTATCCAAATCACTATTTGGATTCTTCATAGGAGTTACCCTTAGGGAAAAAAATCGAAATTACACCTGTATGAATAATTTTTGGAGCCACTGTATATAGTACCTTTCATTATTTGTAAAATGATCATAACCATTTATTGTCTCACGACAAACATAACAAATAAATAAACCACAAGATGAACATGTCATTTTGTTACATCCTTCAACTTTATAAAACCGCTAAAAAAAAGAAAAGAATTTAAGTATTCAATGAAAAAGTTAATAAAAAATATATGAAATTTATACCTGAGTACATCGAGGACATTTACGTATCATAGCTTCTGTTACATGTTCTTCAATAAATTTACGCATTTCAAGTTCAACACCTTTTTCAACTTCATGACATCGTAATGGTATATGATTAGGTTCTTTGCATAATCTAAAACAAAAAGAAAAATAAATATATACAATAATCATTTGAAGAACAAAAAAAAAATGTCTAATTTACCTGCAAGTTTCTTTCATACATTCAGGATTTAAACAACGAAAAACTTTATCATCTGGATTATCAACAATAACAGCATATGGACAATATGGACAACATTCAAGTCCATCAATTTCAGCTAAAAACAATATATACATATAGGAATGATGCTGTTCGACTTCATATATAACTACTTATTTCTCAATGTAATGAACTCCACGGTTTTTTGAATAACTTTTGTTGTGAACATCATAGAGATCTGAGGTTTTCACCACTCAAGAGAGAAGATTCGGGCTCGTCAAACTATATTGAAATTCGATTGGCCAACAATAGACCAATCAATTGAGTTCTTCATGAAGTTTGTTGAAAATGATATTTCTGAATCTATTTTCCTTTCGATTTAGACATTTTAATAGGACTACTCAATACAAAAAAAAGATATGTAGAGAAAAATGAAAGGTAAAATTTTTATAGAAGACTATAAAACCTTTATATATTCTATCAGAAATCTAAATCTCTTGAAAATTAAGGAAAACACAACAATTTAACTTTTGGAAAAATTTCAAATACAGATCAGAATGAAAACTCAAATTTTGGAGAATAAATTCATCAAATGATTAAAATAAATTAATACCATACATTGAATATCGAAAAAACAAATAAACACAATTAAAATCAGATATATTGAATTAATCTCAATGGAAATCTTTATTATAAAACTAAACTTCTTAAAATTCACTCTTGAAATTTTATTGAACTAAATATTTCTAAGTTCTTTACAATTTTTTCCAAATTGAAATACACTTTGTTTAAAAGAGTTACTAAACAAAGGGAAAAAAAACGAATAAGAGAAAAATTTTTAATCGATTAAATACTTTTCAATAACTTCCGAACATAAAGAAATCAAAAACAATTGAATTATGAATTTTCATTTTTGAATTCTATAAACTGTCCCATTCTATTAAACAGAGATCCATAGAAATGTATTTGTCACTGTGATATACGTTCTGAACGAAGAATGGGAAGGATCAGTGGCGGGCCAGCATCCCAAATATAGGTGGGACAATAAACTTTAATTCCTGGGCATAATAAAAAATCTATTTTCAGCTTTATGAAAAATGCTCTATGATAGCTGCATTCATTCAAGCTGCAATTAAAACTAGTCTTTTAAAAGTAATCTCTATATTTGTTTTTCTCTTGAAGTCAATAAACAAACGAGTAAATATTGGATTTAAAATTTCTTTGAGTGAGGCAATTGCCCCCAATTGCCTCGTGGCGACCCGCCACTGGGAAGGATGCATACGATCGGATCTTGACAGTTCATATAGTTCATTATTTACGATCGTATATCTTCATAACCATATATATTGATTAATAGGATCATTATAAAAAAAAAATATGATGTAAAACTAGAATTGCATACGACTTGCTTGTACGAAGACAAACAAATGAGAGTTTCTTTGTCTTCGTATTTCATTGTATACAATAGAGAGATATACTATCGTCATGCTGTTGTATCTGTCTCTTTGAGTGCAAATTTTTACAACAAATATCCAAGTTCATGGAAAACAAAATACATATTTTTATTTTGTCTAACTTAATATCATCTACTTTGATAATCTGCTACTCTATAAAGGTATGTCTGTTGTTGATGAATAATTCGAAAATAACTCAAACTAATGACATTGAGTTTTTATGATTGTCTTAGAGCCTCACTGAACGAAAGGAAATAATGAGCAGTTCATGACTATGTATTTTATTAAAGTTGATAGGACGTAATTACTTTTCAACTGACGTTCTGCATGTCTCTAATGATAAATATAATTTTTTTCGAATTTCTAATAATTCGATATAAATAAAATATTTTTACCTTGTCGAATATTTTCTTCTTGTATTCGTCTATTTAAACGATTTAAATCTTTTGGTGATAAAAGTTCACTAACAAGTGGCATTGTATATTCACCCGGACATAAATTTTCTACACAAGCAAAACGACATTTACCTTCTTTAAAACATACATCAATATGTGTTCGAACACAATTACTAAACCAATAAATAAATATATATGTAAAATGAATCATTTAAAATCTAATCAAACATACCGACAATAAAGATGTCCTACTGTGCATTCAACCATATCATCAATTAATAAATCTTCACGACAACATATATTACATTCAAGTGTTTCATTTTCTTTTTTCGCTTTTTTAACACGTTTTTCATGTTCTTTAGAAGCTTTACCAAGATAACCTAAAAAATTTTTCATATTATTTATGAAAGAAATAATATTTATGAAAATGAAAAGTTTACGTCGAATTTTAACTTCATTCTTAGCAAAACGAAGTTCATCATAAAATTCTTCACATGATGTATGTGGAATTGCATAAACGAATTTATTATTTTTAATTACCCATGATGCGGATGGCTTTCGACCAACACCACCAACAGAAATATCTAATTAAAAAAAAAAAAAAAATTTCAAAAAAAGAAAAAACAAGATTATAAAATATTAAAGATAAATGTAGAAATCGTACTAAATAAAGTTTTGTTTTTAGTAATTTAAAAAGAAACTTCTATACTTCTTCTGACTATTTTTTTTTAAAGATCTACTCCTAAAGTATACCCCCGAGAATTGTGATTTATAATTAAGTGATGATAATTTCCATCGATTAACTATTACTATCTTTTTTAAATTTGACAATCAATCGTTTCAAAAGAATTATATATATTCGATTATATTTCAATATTAATGCCAATAATTTGTTAAGAAATCATAAAGATCTGGAGAAATTCTTTTTTTGTTGTATATATTAAATACAAAATAAATTCTATCAATATAATTTAAACAAAATATTGTTCGATATTCAGATAACATACCAAGCATATCTAATGATTTTCTAATTGCTGTTCGTTGTAAGAATGCATTTGTACGAATATTTAAACGTCTTTCTAATTTTCTTACGGTTGATAAAAAATGATAATTTTCTTCTTGTAAAGCTTGTTCTAATATACTTTTATCTGTTGTTGGAAAAGCACGTACAAGAAATGCTTTAGCATGATTTATATATGATTCAGATTGTTTACGTTGTATATCAAAAAAATAAGTGACTGGATCAGAATAAACTGATAAAAATTTTGGTATATCATCAATTATTTCTGACCATGAACGTTTTAATGATAGATTTCGATCATGGTCAGATGATTTTTTTAATTTTTTTATATAACCATTATCAAGAAAATTTGTTACTATCTCATTTATTGAAGGTATTGGATTCATTGCTGTTATTGCACGACGTGCAGCATCAAGATCAATATCAGGTATAACAGCTTCAATATGTCCGAGAATTTCTTCAATATCAGTTTCAGGTACAAGAATAAGTTCAACATCATCCTGTGCCTGTTGAGGAGTAGTAGTAGTAGTAGTTGTCGTCGTTGTTGCAGTTGCTGTAGGTTGAGACATTGGTGGTGGTATTAATGGATTTTCATATTGATGAATAGGAGGTGTTAGATAAGAATATGGATGTGGTTGAATAGGAATAAAACCTCTACAATAGACAAATAAATTATTATTGAATTAAAACATTCTTATACGACAAAAAATTCGATTGATTAGTATCAGTATGAATATCTTAGAATTCAGTTAAAAGAAATAACTTAAGGTATTTATATAAAAGCTATATTTTTAGCTTGAAGAATGCTCTATAAAATGCATGATTTATTTTTCAAAAACATCTTTTGAATTTACAATTTTTGTAAATAGAAAAAAGATCAAACGAGGGAATCTTCCCAACTTGAAAATTGCATTCCTATCGATTTATTAAAATTTTAACTTATAGCAAGATATATACCAGAAAAAGAAAATCTAATGATAATATTTTGAACTGAAAATTTTCACCTCAAAACAATATTTCCTTCACGAAATACTAAACTTTCTAAAATCAGTTATATGCTACGAAAAATCATATGTTTATTGTAGAATGCAATGATATTTTCAGGTTAACATATAATTCTTTTGTAAATACCGTGCTGCAGGCTCAAGTTTCAATGAAAAACCTGTAACTCGGTAGAGAAATCCCAAGAACTTTTATTCTTTTCGAATTTTTAATATCTTAGTCGAAGTCTACTTTATGCATAGCAGAGTTGCAACTAGTAGAATACTTTTCTTTACTAATATCGATCAGATCGGTATGAGTCACTTTTTCACCTTTTCTTTTTTTTATCTTATACCAATAAAATAAACCTCTTGCTTAATCATCATATCTCCCTTCGAATCACTATAGAAATTACTTTTGTTTCATTGCATTTATGGAATATGATTGCTAATGAGTGTTGAAATATCTGGTACAAAAATTGATCTCATCTTATTTAATTTGTTTCAAAGTCAGCAAAAACCATGTCAATATTCTTTTAACTTACTGACAAATCTGTGAATATATCTGTTATATATAGATGCTAAAATTTCCTACAATAGTTTCAATAGACTCTCCGTCGTGTGTAATATTTTTATCCCCTAGGGATTGGGCTGAAAAGCTATTTCATCACTATTTATTTCAATAAATTTTCTCGCATTTTAACATTGAACATTAATTAAATATTCGTATGATATAGAAATTTGTGAATCACCTACATATATATATATTGCGTTTTTCACAATAAAATTATTTTATTATCTCTTATATATATCTTTACAAAAGATATGGTATAAATTACAATGACAAAACAATGACTTTATTGTGTTTCGATAATATAACTTGATATGAAAATATTCCACTATATGTTTCCTATTAGAAATAATTATTGACATCTAGAAAAAATCTATATCAAACTAACTATTTACAACTGTGATGTATAGAGTTGAAACTCAACAAGAATTTTCAACTTGGAAAAATTCCCTTATGATAAGACATGAATCTTTTTTTAGAGTATCTCGAGTAACGCAATATATAAAATGACGTTACTAACGCATGAAATTTTGCATTGAAAATTGG